AGATGACTCTTTGGAAAATCAAAACGTAGAAGTCTATTCGAATCTTATCTCCATGTTGACTACTGAAGTTTTTTTCTATCCTTTGGAAACTATTTTACATCGTATTCAACTACAGGGTACTCGTACTATTATCGATAATCTGGATAATGGTTATGCTGTGGTGCCTATTTTAACCAACTATCAGGGTGCTATAGATTGCTATCGCACCACTGTGGCCACTGAGGGATTTTCGGGTCTTTATAAGGGTTTTGGTGCTATAATATTACAATTTGCTGCTCATATAGCAGTGATTAAGCTCACAAAATGGATTGTCAATCAAATAACGGAAGTTATATCGAGTCGTCCTCCTCCCAAAGTAGTTCAATATTATAATTTAGATCGTGGCCTACAGTCAAATTCAACAACGATATCCCGCAGTCTTAGCTCAGGCAGTGATTTAGATGCCAATAGTGTAGGCAATCGTTCGGTGGATTAAGTTTTTCTTTACTCCCTCAGCAACAAACAAAAATGTTTAAACTCCAAAATTTTGTAAATGGCTTAATTCTACTAACATTATATATTAATTTAAGCTCCATGCTCTCTTGGAATTTTATATTTTACAACCTCTGTGTATAACTGTACCAAACACAAGTGTGTTTTCTCATAATGAAAGAAGTTATTGAACAAAGAAATTTTTTAGTTGTACTGTGATACTTCCGTTACACATTTAAAATAACTCCCTCCCTGTATTTATGAAGCTTAAATCAATTGTTTTTTTAATGTAAAGTTTAATATATTTTTTGGCCAAATAATTGTTAAAAATCCTCGAAGAAAACGTATAAAATTAAAACTTATTTATTTAACTAAATAGAAATTAATGTATTTAATTAATAAATAAAAAAGAAACTAATCGAAACTTAATCGCCCTAGTGTGAAATTTTTTACGGAAATTAAATATTAGTGAAGTGCTCTTTAGGAATCACAAATTCTTTTTACTTTCTCCTTTATTGAGCACACAAATTGATACTTTAAAAAGAATTTGGCACTTGTATATTTTCATAAAAAATATTTTTTTTTTACTAAATAGTTATACTTACATTTTGTTTGTTAAAACTACTAATAACAGCTAAGAAGTTGTGGTTTAAATGTTTTTATACACTTGCTATTTTCTACCCTTGCCTTTGCCCTTCTTTTTATCTCTCTTACTCTTGGCCACCAGAGAACGTTTGTCCTTCTTTTCACGTGGATCCACCACCTTGTAGCGTCCTTTAACGCCAGCCGGACGTCTAGCACGACGACCAGTTTGATGTTTCTTAGCCACCACATAGGTGACTTCCTTCTTCTTTTCTTGAGCCTTTTTGTAGATCTTCTTAATTTGTTTGGCCTTCTCTTGGGCGGTTGCATCAGCATTTTCCAAAATCTTTTCAGCCTGTTTCTTAGCCTTAGCCAAACGCTTAACGGCACGTCTACGTTTACGGGCCTTGGCCTCCATAACCTTTTTAATGGGTCGCACATTGAGCTCTTGGACTTTACGTTGGTATTCTTCGGTCAATTCCTTAGGCACTGGTACTGGTTTCTTCATGTGTACCTCTTCATCCTGTACAAACCAAGAGGGTAGATTGTCATCGTTGAAAGCATAACGATTCCAGGCACCATCAATTAAATCACGTCTAGTCTTCTTGCCCTTAATCATCATGGCTCCTAAAGCTAATTCTTCTTCGGTCAAACGTATTTTCTTGGCTTTCGGTTCCTTAGCCATATCGCCCGCAGTTTTTTCTTCATCTTCTGTTTCCTCATCTGAAGAATCACTAGATGATTCGGATGAAGATTCTTTTTTCTCTATATCATGACGTGCACGGCGTTTGGCTTTTTTACCCATTAGCAAATTACTTTCGCCTGTTTCTTGACTTTCACCCAATACCGCTACGCCCTTGCTCTTGTATTCGTTAGCCAAACGATCCAAATCGAAATCTTCATCGTCATCAGTGTCTATATTTTGTAGATTTTCTTTTTCATACCACAACTGTACACGCTGTTGTCTTTTCGTATCCTTATCACGAAAATCTCCCGATTTGATGAGTGGATGTTGTTCTTTTTTCTTTTTATTCTTACCAGCTTTGGAGGTCTTTTCCAAATCTTCATCATCACTAAGACCCAAGCCCTGCTGATCCATATCACTTTCACTGTCCTCCTCGGCGGATACCTCAGGTTCATCATCATTTTCATAATTGGCATCATCGTCCATACGTTTGTCATCTTTGTCGTATCTGTAAGTTAACAAAATGAATTAAATTTAATCAGGTTTCTTTTATTTGGTTGATACCACCTACTTTTTGTATTTCGGCAATTTGGGTAACTCCTGCTGTTCACCTTCCACATCAAAATCTGGCACTACATCCAACATTTCATCCAACTCTTCTTGGGTTTTGACAGTTTTCAAATCGAAGATTTCCTGATCGATTTCTTCCTGGGGACCATCATCTCCCTTGATAACCATTTTCAAGTTCATTTTCTCTTGTAATTTGGCTTTTTCCTTTAGGGTCTTCTTGCGTTTACGCTTCAATTCTTTTTGTTCTTCTTCAGCCAAGGTGGAGATTTGTTTTTGCAGTTCTTCATCTTCCATATCCTCAATTTCTTCTTGAGTTAATGGACGTTTGGGTGCCTCTTCCTCTTCAATAACTTCGGTTTCTTTATCCTCCTCTTTGAAGTATTCCTCCTTAATGGCCTTCCACCAGGCCAACAGACCCTTAATATCTTTACGGCCTAAGACTTTGATATCTTTACAGCATTCCAAAATTTCCTGAGTAGTTTTGGGATGATTGGCAATTCTCTCGTCATCGATGCGTATCGAACCAATGCCCTGCAAAGCAGCCAAACCATTTTCTGACTGCATAAATTCAGTGGCCGATAAATCGTTTCTCAAGGCAATATCCTGTTCGGTATAACCCTCAGCTTTAATGCGCTTTTGCTTATCGGGATGCAAAAGACTGCCCTTCTTGGTGCCCTCCAAATCGAGTTCCTCGAACACATACTTAGGATCCAACAATTTAGGATCAATGCGATCAGGTGCCAAATAACCCTGACAGACAACGAAAATTTCAGCTGACTCTTTACGGGAAGCACTAGGCTTGGTAGCATGCACCTTCTTGAACAACTGTTTCAAAACCCACAACAAGGCATTGTAATCTTTTGATCTGAAAACTTTGGTAACAAACCAACCGCCACTTCTTAAAAACTCTGTGGCCAACTTCAAAGACATCAAAGTCAAGCAAATCTGTTGATAAGCGTCATGCAACCAATTACGACCCACATTGGGAGCACCATCGTGCAACACGACATCAGCTTTCCAGGTCTGCAGCTCTTTAGTCAATGAAGCTCTACATTTGTCGGTGGTAATATCCTCCACTAAACTTATACAACCGGGTATGGCGCGTATAGGAAACAAATCCACACCTATGACAATACTCGATACAGGCATATTCTGCTTAGCCACCTGCATCCAACCACCGGGAGCAGCACACAAATCTATACATACTTGAGACTGTTGCAAGAAACCAAACTTACGATTCAATTGTATCAATTTGAAAGCAGCACGGGAACGAAAACCTTTAAAAGAATTACAATTTGAATTAAAAATGTGTTCCACATTTTTTCTTGTTGCCTTCACTTACCCGTCTCTTTGGCTAATTGATAAAACTTATCTTTACGGGCTTTTCCTACTTTGGATTTTTTGCCCATTTTGTTGCTGTTTTATTTGTTTTACTTTTTACCACTTTAGTTTAATTAAATATTTTCAATTTTTATAAAAACTTATTAAAATTTCAACAAAAATGCCCCGAGCTCCGTATTGCACGTGTTTTTGTTGAAATAAATATGTGCGTTGTTGCTTTTTTCCACACTGCCAGAGTGTGTGCTGTCAAATGTAAACAATGTAGAGATGCCAGAGTGGGAAAAAACATACAATGTGTGCTCAGCAAAATCTGCTCGAATTGACACACAACACGTACATTGCTGTAGACCGGGACGATTTTGCTCAGATACCCCACCTCTAAGTACGATGCTCAGATCATATAAACAAAAACGATTTTGCTGAGGCCCAGCAAATTTTCAATATAATTAAAAAAAGTGTGTGCCGTCAAAAGTTAAAATGTAAGCAAGGTAGAGATGCCAGAGTGGGAATAATAAAAATAATATACATTGAGAGAAATTTTGTTAAGAAAACTAAAGAAATATTAATAAAATTGTTTAAAATTTCAAAAATTAATAAATTATTTAATAAAAATTAGACGGATAAATATTAAATGAAGTTTTAATGCTAAAAAAAACTTATAATGTTGTTCATAATTATTAAGATAAATTCATTTTACGGTAAATGGGAGACTTATAGAAAATTATATTGAATTGTAACTATAATTCCTAAAAGAATAGACCGATTAAAAAAAAACTGTATAAGACTACAGAGGAACTCAAATCATATAGTTTTGTATTTAAATGTTAAAAGTGGTACCATGGTTCAAACTAATCTTGAAATCAAACAATATGACCCATTTTAATAGAGGAGACATATAGTTGAGTTTATGTTTTAAATCTTATAGACCTCGTTTCCCACAAATTGATGTAAAATTGGTCTGGACTACATTTTCTTAATGTCAAATCGCGGGAGTTAGGAAGATTTTAATTTTTGAACACTGATCTGTATTTATAAATAAAACTCGTTACGTTTTCTTCTTGTTACGTACATATATATTTATATTTAATCAATTAATTTATTGTTTTTTTTTGGACTTAAATCTATATTTTTATTATTTAAAGATTTTTTGCAGCATTATCATTCTCTTTTCTTTTATTTAGACAGAAGCTCTTAAATGTTTATAAGAAAAAAAAAAAAAACAAATGTAAGTAATAAAAAAAATAACTATTTACAAAATTTTATAATATTAATAACTAAATTTTAAAGACATTAAAAAAAAAATTAGAAAAAATCTTTTTTTTTCAAAGATATTTAACAATTTTTAAAGGGAAGGCGAACGGCTTTTTTTTCTATATTTATAAACTAAATAAAGTTTAAGTTAAGATTTCTTTATGATTATATAAAAAAGTAATATTTAATAAGCAAAACCAAGTCAAAAATATAATAATAAAATTACAGCTATTTATTAATTCAAGCGATATGTTTTAGGGGAAAATATGGTTTCAAGTTTGTTTGAAAATAATAAAAAAAAAGATTTTTTTTCAAATTCTTAAGTTATTACAGATAAATAATATTACGAGGGCGAGAAAGAGAGTGAAAAATCAAGGATTAACGTTAATTAAAAAAGTAAAATTATTTAATAAAAGCCTCAGGGGGTATTTTACATTCCTTGTGTAATTTTTCAAAAACAAAAGCTGCATGATTATAATCCCAATTAGTTTCCTCCAAACATCTGGAAAAACAAAAAAATATTAGAAAAATACTAAAGATAAGCAGAGCTAAACCTACTTTCTGCTCCATTCGGCATTCATATTACTTTGAACACACATGGCCTGGACCATTTGCATTTTCATAGATTCGTCCGGTTGTCTGGGAGCAACATCAGCTGGTGGTGGCATTAGAGCGGCAGCGGAAGTCTAATGAAAAACATAAAATATATATTATATATAATAAAAGAGTTTATGGCAAAAATATATTAGTGAAATTACCGTGGGTTGATTCATTTGTAAACGATTTTGTAAACTACCAGCAGCAGCACTTGTTACTGTGGCTGCGGCGCCAGCAGTACCGGCTGCTGTTGGTGTTGTACTTACGGCTGCTGGAGGTTTAAGGAATGTGCGTGCCTGCGCTCCAGTAGCACTTGTTACTAAAATCATTTCATTGCGTATACAAAAGCCACCGCCAGCGGGTACTATAACAAATTGTCGTTGAAAATAGCGTATGTCACCGCCAGAATTGCTGGAAGAGTCTAATTCTTTGAATAAACCAGCTACGGTAAAGGCTAGTAAGTGGGGCGGAAAGGAAAGGAAGGAAGAGAGAGAGGAAAAGGGAGAAAGGGAAAGCGAGCCAGCCAGCGAGCGAGGGAGCGAGCGAGCGAGCGAGCGAGCGAGCGAGCGAGCGAGCGAGCGAGCGAGCGAGCGAGCGAGCGAGCGAGCGAGCGAGCGAGCGAGCGAGCGAGAGAGCGAGCGAGCGAGCGAGCGAGCGAGCGAGCGAGCGAGCGAGCGAGCGAGCGAGCGAGCGAGCGAGCGAGCGAGCGAGCGAGGAGCGAGCGAGCGAGCGAGCGAGCGAGCGAGCGAGCGAGCGAGCGAGCGAGCGAGCGAGCGAGCGAGAGAGCGAGCGAGCGAGCGAGCGAGCGAGCGAGCGAGCGAGCGAGCGAGCGAGCGAGCGAGAGAGCGAGCGAGCGAGCGAGCGAGCGAGCGAGCGAGCGAGCGAGCGAGAGGAGCGAGCGAGCGAGCCAGCGAGCGAGCCAGCGAGCGAGCCAGCGAGCGAGCCAGCGAGCGAGCCAGCGAGCGAGCCAGCGAGCGAGCCAGCCAGAGCGAGCGAGCGAGCGAGCGAGCGAGCGAGCACGAGCGAGCGAGAGAGCGAGCGAGCGAGCGAGCGAGCGAGCGAGCGAGCGAGCGAGCGAGCGAGCGAGCGAGCGAGCGAGCGAGCGAGCGAGACGAGCGAGCGAGCGAGCGAGCGAGCGAGCAGCGAGCGAGCGAGGAGCGAGCGAGCGAGCGAGCGAGCGAGGAGCGAGCGAGCGAGCGAGCGAGCGAGCGAGCGAGAGAGCGAGCGAGCGAGCGCGAGCGAGCGAGCGAGAGCGAGCGAGCGAGCGAGCGAGCGAGCGAGCGAGCGAGGAGCGAGCGAGCGAGCGAGCGAGCGAGCGAGCGAGCGAGCGAGCGAGCGAGCGGCGAGCGAGAGCGAGCGAGCGAGCGAGCGAGCGAGGAGCGAGCGAGCGAGCAGCGAGCGAGCGAGCGAGCGAGCGAGCGCGAGCGAGCGAGCGAGCGAGCGAGCGAGCGAGCGAGCGAGCGAGCGAGCGAGCGAGCGAGCGAGCGAGCGAGCGAGCGAGCGAGGAGCGAGCGAGCGAGCGAGCGAGCGAGCGAGCGAGCGAGCGAGCGAGCGAGCGAGCAGAGCAGCGAGCGAGCGAGCGAGCGAGCAGCGAGCGAGCGAGCGAGCGAGCAGCGAGCGAGCAGCGAGCGAGCAGCGAGCGAGCAGCGAGCGAGCAGAGAGCGAGCAGCGAGCGAGCAGCGAGCGAGCAGCGAGCGAGCAGCGAGCGAGCAGCGAGCGAGCAGCGAGCGAGCAGCGAGCGAGCAGCGAGCGAGCAGCGAGCGAGCAGCGAGCAGCGAGAGAGCAGCGAGCGAGCAGCGAGCGAGCAGGGAGCGAGCGAGAGCGAGCAGCGAGAGCAGCGAGCGAGCAGCGAGCGAGCAGCGAGCGAGCAGCGAGCGACAGCGAGCGAGCCAGCGAGCGAGCAGCGAGCGAGCAGCGAGAGCAGCGAGCGAGCCAGCGAGCGAGCAGCGAGCGAGAGCGAGAGCGAGCGAGCAGAGAGGCAGCAGCGAGCAGGAGCGAGCAGCGAGCGAGCCAGCGAGCGAGCAGAGAGCGAGCAGCGAGCGAGCAGCGAGCGAGCGAGCGAGCAGCGAGCGAGCGAGCGAGCGAGCGAGCGAGCGAGCGAGCGAGCAGAGAGCGAGCAGCGAGCGAGCAGCGAGCGAGCAGCGAGCGAGCGAGCGAGCGAGCGAGCGAGCGAGCGAGCGAGCGAGCGAGCGAGCGAGCGAGCGAGCGAGCGAGCGAGCGAGCGAGCGAGCGAGCGAGCGAGCGAGCGAGCGAGCGAGCGAGCGAGCGAGCGAGCGAGCGAGAGAGCGAGCGAGCGAGCGAGCGAGCGAGCGAGCGAGCGCGAGCAGGAGCGAGCGAGCAGCGAGCGAGCGAGCGAGCGAGCGAGCGAGCGAGCGAGCGAGCGAGGATCGAGCGAGCGAGCGAGCGAGCGAGCGAGCGAGCGATGCGAGCGAGCGAGCCGAGCGAGCGAGCGAGCGAGCGAGCGAGCGAGCGAGCGAGCGAGCGAGCGAGCGAGCGAGCGAGCGAGCGAGCGAGCGAGCGAGCGAGCGAGCGAGCGAGCGAGCGAGCGAGCGAGCGAGCGAGCGAGCGAGGAGCGAGCGAGCGAGCGAGCGAGCGAGCGAGCGAGGAGCGAGCGAGCGAGCGAGCGAGCGAGCGAGCGAGCGAGCGAGCGAGCGAGCGAGCGAGCGATCGAGCGAGCGAAGCGAGCGAGCGAGCGAGCGAGCGAGCGAGCGAGCGAGCGAGCGAGCGAGCTAGCGAGCGAGCGAGCGAGCGAGCGAGCGAGCGAGCGAGCGAGCGAGCGAGCGAGCGAGCGAAGCGAGCGAGCGAGCGAGCGAGCGAGCAGAGAGGAGCGAGCGAGCGAGCGAGCGAGCGAGCGAGCGAGAGCGAGCGCGAGCGAGCGAGCGAGCGAGCGAGCGAGCGACGAGCGAGCAGAGCGAGCGAGCGAGCGAGCGAGCGAGCGCGGCGAGCGAGCGAGCGAGCGAGCGAGCGAGCGAGCGAGCGAGCGAGCGAGCGAGCGAGCGAGGAGCGAGAGAGCGAGCGAGCGAGCGAGCAGCGAGCGAGCGAGCGAGCGAGCGACGGAGCGAGCGAGCGAGCGAGCGAGCGAGCGAGCGAGAGAGCGAGCGAGCGAGCGAGCGAGCGAGCGAGCGACGCGAGCGAGCGAGCGAGCGAGCGAGCGAGCGAGCGAGCGAGCGAGCGAGCGAGCGAGCGAGCGACGAGCGAGCGAGCGAGCGCGCGAGCGAGCGAGCGAGCGAGCTCGAGCGAGCGAGGAGCGAGCGAGCGAGCGAGCGAGCGAGCGAGCGAGGAGCGAGCGAGCGAGCGACTTCGAGCGAGGCGAGCGAGCGAGCGAGCGAGCGAGCGAGCGGCGAGCTGAGCGAGCAGCGAGGCAGCGAGCGAGCGAGCGAGTCGAGCGAGCGAGCGAGCGAGCGAGCGAGCGAGGCTAGAGCGAGGAGCGAGCGAGAGAGCGAGCGAGCGAGCGAGCTAGGGCCAGCGAGCGAGCGAGCGAGCTGAGCGAGCGAGCGAGCGAGCGAGCAGCTAGCGAGCAGCGAGCGAGGAGCGAGCGAGAGAGCGAGCGAGCGACAGCGAGCATCGAGCGAGCGAGCGAGAGAGCCATCTATATATCATCGACCATCTATCATCTATCATCCATCTATCTATCCATCTATCTATCCATCTATCATCCATCTATCTATCCATCTATCTATCCATCCATCTATCTATCATCCATCCATCTATCTATCCATCTATCTATCCATCTATCTATCCATCTATCTTTTTAATACCAACTTACCGTAAACAAAGTCAAATCCACTGAAAACGATTGAGGATCATGTTGTGTCTTAGGCCACTCTGCCAAAGTGGAGACCACAGCCAAACGACCCACCTTCAATTGTCTTATTTTGGTTACATCCTCATTATTGACAATACGACGGAAATTACGATTAAATTTCCAAAATGAATGTAATCTACAGCAATTAATTTCAATTAAAAGTTATATCATTTAAAACTTTTTACTTTCCACATACCTTCCAGCTTGACTGGCCGGTGGCACAGATATCGACATCATAGCCTGTTCATGATAAGCATCCAACAAAGGCTGACGATTTTCACTATCGAATATCATGAAATATTGTTCCAAAAATTGTCTTATTATATCAGCACCCGAGGCATCACATAAAAATGAAGCTTGTGACTTGGGCAGGGTAGAAGTGTCATTGACATCGAATAAGATTTGTGGTTCCAGATCTTCGCCATCCTTTTAGATAACATTAGCCATAAAGTTTTTAAGTCAAATTTTTAATCATTTAATGAAGTATGAATGAAAAATAGCTTCTATACTTACCAGTTTAACAATTTTGGGAAATTTACGTCGTACTTCACTGTGAATTAAATATGGGTAATAAAATATTTTTCGTTAACATATTTAAGGGTGGATGTTATGGAGGAAAAGGTGAGTGTTATGATTTAAAACATTTTTGTTTTTGTAAAACATGAAATTATATAAAAAGGAAATATATTAGTTTTGTAATTTTAATAAAATTTTAGACGGTTTTAATAGAATTTTTAAGAAATTTTAAAAAAAACTTGTTTGGAAAGCGTAATAACTAGTAGTCTATAGTCTGTACGGTAGTCTAGTCTGATTTTTGTATGAAAGTCTAGACTATAGCATGTTATAGTCCATAATCTGGCTTATAGTTTAGCTCATAGCTTAGTCTGGTTTGTAGAGTTGCATATAGTTTAGACTATAATCTAGTTTGTAATCTAAACTATAGCGTAGTCTAGAGTCTGAACTATAGTCCAGACTAAATTCACCATTAAAACGTGAGTTTTTCCTGTTATTTTGTTAATTTTTTCCTGGAATTTGTTCTATTTTTGTTAAAATTCTTTTTCTTTTTCTTTGTACTTTGTACTTTCCCTTTTTCGCAATTACCTTTTAAATTTCAACTTAATTTCCTTGTTTCTTTTTGTTTTTTCTTCTACCATTTTGTAAATGTTTTCATAACACTATCATTATTCTTGTTCTTTTTAACTTTTTATAGTTTTCTTTTATATTTTATACTTTTGTTTACTATTGAAAAAGCAAATAAATTTTGTTTTTTTAGCTTTTTTCTAAACCAAAGCTTTTGAAAATTTAAATTTTAACAAATAAAGTTAAAAAGGTTTATGTTATTAGCACAAAAACAACAACATTTTAAGGAATCTTATAAAAATAACTTCCTGTTGTTGAAATTTCTGTTTTAAAAAACTAAAACAGTAAATTATTTAAGATTTTTAAACAATTTTTTGTTCAAAAAACGCTAAAATATAAAGAAAATTTGGTTTTATAACACTGTTATACATTTTAGCGGTTTTTTTTTTGTAACAATAAGCATCACTAAATAAGTGATATTAAGTTTTGTTTATAAAATGTGGTTGTTTTTGCTTAAATTTTTAAGGTTTTTTTATAATTTTTTAATTTTTTTTGTTTTTTTCTTTTTTGTTCTGTTTTTCTTTTGTTTAATTTTCTCCGAAAACAGCAATAAACTTATTTTAATTCTGTTTATATTTAAAAACCGTTATTTAACTTTTGTAGCTTTTAGTTATATTTTCTTTTTATGTTATATAAATTATTAATAATTATTCCAGTTATTTCTTTAGTAGTTTATTAAATTATTTTTGTTATATAGTTTGCTTTTTTTTTTTGAAAACCTTAAGTTAATTGGTGTTTTATTATAACAACAACACCAGTTTTTTTTAGGTTTAAGTTTGAAAAAAAGCTAAACTTTTTAGTAAATTATATACAACTTTTGTTTTATATGATTTAAGCCTTAAAAACACTTTTTCTTAATAAAGCTTTCTTTAAAAATATTAAACCAGACAAATGTCTTTAGTAATAAGGTTATTAGAGACATATTAACCAACCGGTGTTAGGTTGACTTTTTCCCCAAACAGGAAAAGTTTTACAACCACACCATATGCTCTCGTTAACCATGATGCTGCTGCTGACTGACATTGTCTTTTAAAGAGTAGTAAAGCTTTTAAGTGTTTAACGTAAATAAGGCTTTAGGCAGGTTCTTTTAGGGTTTAATATATTTTAGTTATAATATTTGTGAAATGATCTTAATATAACATAAAAACCACAAAAGCTTTTTTTTTTTGGAACCTAAATCTAGGTTTATTCGTTATTTAACTAAAATTTAAGTTTAGTGCCATTTTTTGATATTTTTTATATATTTTTTCTTTTGGGTTTTTTTTATTTTTTTTCTTATCTTTCTTTTGTTATCTCTTTTTTAACACTTTTTTTCTTATATTTTTTGTAATTTTTTCTTTTTTATATTTTTCTCAAAACCCTCTTAACTTTAATCAATTTAAAAGAGCTTTAATCAGAACTCCATATTTAAACAATTAATACAAAATGTATGTTGCTTTCTAAATAGTTTAAATTTTTTTTCAAAATTTTATGTAAAATTTTTTTCAATTTTTAAAAACTTTTTTTGTTTTAAAGTTTGTTTAACCAAAATTTGGAGTATTAGTTTTTAGTTAATGTTTCTTAAATGTTCTAATATCAAACTATTCCCCAAAAAAATTAGTTTTTAAATTTTTTTTATAAAAAATTTAGCATTTTTCTAAAGAATTTCGAAATTTTGGTTTAACAACTTTTTAATTGATTGAAACTAAATATAAAATATTAAACCATTTTTAAAATTGAAACAAAATCGATTAAGATTTTATAAAAACTCAAGTTCGTCGTCAACAAATAAGTTTGAAATAAATCAATTTGTGGTAAAATTATAAAAAATGCTTGAAATAGTGTAAAGATGTTAATGTTGTAAAATATTGTTCAGAGATCAGTCTAGAGTCTATTTTTGTCCGATCGTTCTAGTTTACTGATTAAAGATGTCTCTAATCTTTCGATCAGTGATTATTCTAGTCTAGGGACAAGAGATCTCTCTGGTTAAGAGTCTAAAGATAACTTTAGTCTAGAGATTAGAGATCATTCTAGTCTTAGGACTAGAGAGACTTGAGATCATTTTGCTCTGGATACTATAAAAATCTAGTCTAGATACTAGTGAGATCACTCTAGTTTAGAGACTAGAGATCACTCTAGTTTAGAGACTAGAGATCACTCTAGTTTAGAGACTAGAGATCACTCTAGTTTAGACACTAGAGATCACTCTAGTTTAGAGACTAGAGATCACTTTAGTTTAGAGACTAGATCAATCAAATTTAGAAACTAGAGATCACTCTGGTCTGGATACTATAAAAAATCTAGTCTAGATACTAGTGAAAACACTCTAGTCTAGGGACTAGTGAGATCACTATATTATAGAGACTAGTTATCACTCTAGTATAGAGACTAGAAATCTCACTTATATAGAGACTAGATATCACTCCTGTCTAGAGATCAACCTAATTTATAAACTCCAGATGACTCTAGTCTCTAGAGACTGGAGTTTATTTTAGACTAAAGATCACTCTAGTGTACTAGATAACACTCTAGTCTAGATATTAGAGATCATTCTGGGCTAAATAGTATAGATCACTCAAGTCTAGAGACTAGAGATCACTCTACTTTAGATCAACCAGATCTAAATCTAATTTATAGATTACCATTGCCCAGAGATCACTAGACTTTTGTCTAAAGATCACTCTAGTCTATTGAGTTGAGATTAATGGCGTCTATTGAATATTTATCATTTTGTTGGTTAGAGATCACTCTAGTCTACTGACTTTTGTTAATAAACTAATAGAGATCACTGTAGTCAATAGACTAAAGATCACTCTAGACTACAGATCAATTTCGTCTATTGAATGATTATTATTCCAGGGATCACTATTAGAGATCAATCTAGTCCATTGACTATTGCCTAGAGATCACTCTAGTCTATTGATTAACGATCACTCTAGTCTATTGACGAGATCACAATTGGTTAGAGATCACTTTAATCTCTTGACTAGAGATCCGTATATGTACTCTAGTTTATTGGCTACAGACCAACCCTTAAAATAAAGATATCTCTGTATTCGTTTAACCAGATTTTTGTATAGTCCATTAACTAGTCCTCCGTCTAGTCAATTTTGTTTTCATTTGTTAATAAAAATCTTTATAAAATTTCTCCTAAAAGAAGTTTATTTTCCAAATAAACCTTTTAGTTGGTAGCTGTTAGTATAATAAATCTTTCACCAGTTCTTTTCTTTTCCTTTTTTAAGAGCCACAGTTTTGGTGTATAACTTCCAAACTGCAAACTAAAAGAAAACTGATGATGTTGTTCATTGGTCAAACGGGAAATTTAACACACATTTCCTTAAACCATACGCAGGAAAAGATGTATTATTCAAATAGAAAAAAATAAAAAATAAACTAAATTTTAAACACATTTTGATACCTGACATAAAGAGCATGATCTTTATAGCGCTGACGTAAAGGATTATTCTTCAAGACCAAATCCACAATAGGGACATTGCGTAGAACCAGTAAATGGGCCAAAGAAGGTAACTGAAAAAAGGAGAATTTGTTCAAAATTAAATGAATTTAAATTTCTTAAGAAAACTTACATTATTATTAGCCAAATATAGAATTTTCAAATGCGGCAATCTTTGTTCAACATTCTTAAAACTTTCCATGGAGGCTATGTTATTCTCATTCAAATTTAAAGCCTCCAAATCGGGTATATTCTTTTGTATTATATCTAAAGCGGCCCGACATAACAGGGGTACGGAAAAGACCCACAAACATATTACGAAAATCAGGATCAGCATGGAATTTGGTCAAATCTAAAGCCTTAGTATGGGCATTATATCTTTTAGCCATAACTAATTTCATTTTTTCCTTAAATTCCTCATCGACCGAAACAATGGGGCAACTGGCCCGTACTCTGATAAACAAACGATAGCCATCGGTCATTTGGACGCTACGTTCGATTTGTTGTAAACGTTGGGCTATGGCATAATCATCCACAAAGAAAACCACACAATTCTTTTCAGTACGCCAGTAATGGGGTATAAAAATATCCGGTGATATGGCGCTGAGTATAGCGCGTATAACATCATCTTTAGAATAACGTTGACCAGATTGTATCTAAAATTAGAGAAGATCAAGAAAATAATAATAAGTAAAATTAACCACAATTGTTTTTTTTTATAAAAGTTCTGGTTTATGATTTGTTATTTAATACTAATAAAAGAACACTTTTTCTTCTATACAAATGCATGAATAATACTCTCAAGTTGTAAACTTTTTATTTTATCGTACAAATAATAAATTTCAATTAGTTTGTTAATGATAATGTTAACAAATCAATAACAAACACTCGCTATTTAGACACTAAGAAGAAAAGACCTAAAGAAAGTAAATTAGAAAAAAATATGTTTATTTTTTTAAACTAATTACAGGAAATTAATTAAATATTAAATTAGCAAAAATTAAATTTGTATACAAATAATCATGTTTTCAAAGCCTAGCTGCTGTTGCTGGAAATCAGAAAATAAAATGGAAACTACTACAGATGTTACCACAGGTGGTTTTCAAAATAAAAGTTATGATACCTGGGAACCATTTCCACATGTACGTTTTGTTCATTAAATATAAATATTTTTTTTTTTAATATTATTTTCTTTTTTTAGACACAATCCTCTTCGATAGCAGCGAATGAAGAACCTAAATCGTCGCCCGTAGCTGTGGTCCACCAACCCAAATTATCAAAAAGTTCTCGCAGTTCCCTTGAAAGTATAAAACTTTCAAAAATTGATTTGAATTTAGATTTATTTGAGGATACCAATCGTTTTTTCGGATATGTCAGAAAACTATACACAAAAGTAATTCGGATTTGGATAAATTTAAGGTAAATATAGAAAAATTTAATTCAAAATTTTGTTAAAAAAACCTATTAATACTGAAGTTCAGTTCTAGTTCAGTTCTAGTTTAGTTCTAGTTAAGTTCTAGTTCAGTTTCTAGTTCAGTTCTAGTTCAGTTCTAGTTTAGTTCTAGTTAAGTTCTAGTTCAGTTCTAGTTCAGTTCTAATTCAGTTCTAGTTCAGTTCTAGTTCAGTTCTAGTTCAGTTCTAATTCAGTTCTAGTTCAGTTCTAGTTCAGTTCTAGTTCAGTTCTAGTTCAGTTCTAGTTCAGTTCTAGTTCAGTTCTAGTTCAATTCTAGTTCAGTTCTAGTTCAATTCTGGTTCAGTTCTGGTTCAGTTCTAGTTCAGTTCTAGTTTAGTTCTAGTTTAGTTCTAGTTCAGTTCTAGTTCAGTTCTAGTTCAGTTCTAGTTCAGTTCTAATTCAGTTCTAATTCAGTTCTAGTTCAGTTTTAATTCAGTTCTAGTTCAGTTCTAATTCAGTTCTAGTTCAGTTCTAGTTCAGTTCTAGTTCAGTTCTAGTTCAGTTCTAGTTCAGTTCTAATTCAGTTCTAATTCAGTTCTAGTTCAGTTTTAATTCAGTTCTAGTTCAGTTCTAGTTCAGTTCTAGTTCAGTTCTAGTTCAGTTCTAGTTCAGTTCTAGTTCAGTTCTAGTTCAATTCTAGTTCAGTTCTAGTTCAGTTCTAGTTCAGTTTTAGTTCAGTTCTAGTCAGTTCTAGTTCAGTTCTAGTTCAGTTCTAGTTCAGTTCTAGTTCAGTTCTAGTTCAGTTCTAGTTCAGTTCTAGTTCAGTTCTAGTTCAGTTCTAGTTCAGTTCTAGTTCAGTTCTAGTTCAGTTCTAGTTCTAGTTCAGTTCTAGTTCTAGTTCTAGTTCAGTTCTAGTTCTAGTTCTAGTTCAGTTCTAGTTCAGTTCTAGTTCAGTTCTAGTTCAGTTCTAGTTCAGTTCTAGTTCAGTTCTAGTTCAGTTCTAGTTCAGTTCTAGTTCTAGTTCAGCTCTATATTCCTTTGTGTCCATTTTATTGCTTTGACTGTAATGCAAGTGAAAAAAACCTTCAATCTCTTGCATTGTTGTTAAATTTTGCAATTATTGTTTAAATAAATACATATAGACAGACATGCTCGTAACATGTATTGATAACAATATATTTTAAACAAATAAAAAATAATAAAATTAATAAATAAAACTGACCCTGAAATTATCTGTAAAGAGTTTATGCACACAAAACACTTATTGTAAATGGTTAATAAGAAATTTGTTAATTTTGTTTTATCACAAAAAGTAAAATTGTCAACAATTTTAAATACAACAACATTAAACTAAATAAAACAAAAAGATATATGAAGCATAAAATTATATTTTATATACTAACGGTGATTAATATTAACAAATATTTCATTTGTTAAAAAAAAGTAAAAAACAAAAACAACTTTTATTTAATAATACTCCCTTTTAAAAGCACTTGAACTGATAATAAAGAAAATTAACTGTTGATGCAACAGGGTGATAAGAATTTAGCCCCACAAAAGCAAAACAATAATACCATTTTAATACTAATTTCAGTTCCGGATAAGTTCCACTTTAGTTCCAGTTAAGTTTTAGTTCAGTTCTAGTTCAGTTTTAGTTCTAGTTCAGTTCTAGTTTAGTTCTAGTTCAGTTCTAGTTCAGTTCTAGTTCAGTTCTAGTTCAGTTCTAGTTCAGTTCTAGTTCAGTTCTAGTTCAGTTCTAGTTCAGTTCTAGTTCAGTTCTAGTTCAGTTCTAGTTCAGTTCTAGTTCAGTTCTAGTTCAGTTCTAGTTCAGTCTAGTTCAGTTCTAGTTCAGTTCTAGTTCAGTTCTAGTTCAGTTCTAGTCAGTTCTAGTTCAGTTCTAGTTCAGTTCTAGTTCAGTTCTAGTTCAGTTCTAGTTCAGTTCATTCAGTCAGTTCAGTTCTAGTTCAGTTCTAGTTCAGTTCTAGTTCAGTTCTAGTTTCAGTTCTAGTTCAGTTCTAGTCGTTAGTTCAGTTCTAGTTCAGTTTAGTTCAGTTCTAGTTCAGTTCTAGTTCAGTTCTAGTTCAGTTCTAGTTCAGTTCTAGTTCAGTTCTAGTTCAGTTCTAGTTCAGTTCTAGTTCAGTCTAGTTCAGTTCTAGTTCAGTTCTAGTTCAGTTCTAGTTCAGTTCTAGTTCAGTTCTAGTTCAGTTCTAGTTCAGTTCTAGTTCAGTTCTAGGTCAGTCTAGTTCAGTTCTAGTTCAGTTCTAGTTCAGTTCTAGTTCAGTTCTAGTTCAGTTCTAGTTAGTTCAGTTCTAGTTCAGTTCTAGTTCAGTTCTAGTTCAGTTCTAGTTCAGTTCTAGTTCAGTTCTAGTTCAGTTCTAGTTCAGTTCTAGTTCAGATCTAGTTAAGTTCTAGTTCAGTTCTACTTCAGTTCTAGTTCAGTTCTAAGTTAGTTTTAGTTCAGTTCTACTTAAGCTCTAGTTAAGATCTAGTTCTGTTCTAGTTCAGTTCTAGTTCAGTTCTAGTTCAGTTCTAGTTCAGTTCTAGTTCAGTTCTAGTTCAGTTCTAGTTCAGTTCTAGTTCAGTTCTAGTTCAGTTCTAGTTCAGTTCTAGTTCAGTTCTAGTTCAGTTCTAGTTTAGTTCTAGTTCAGTTCTAGTTCAGTTCTAGTTCAGTTCTAGTTCAGTTCTAGTTCAGTTCTAGTTCAGTTCTAGTTCAGTTCTAGTTCAGTTCTAGTTAGTTCTAATTCAGTTCTAGTTCAGTCCTATTTCAGTTCTAGTTCAGTTCTAGTTCAGATCTAGTTCAGTTCTAGTTCAGTTCTAGTTCAGTTCTAGTTCAGTTCTAGTTCAGTTCTAGTTCAGTTCTAGTTCAGTTCTAGTTCAGTTCTAGTTTAGTTCTAGTTTAGTTCTAGTTCAGTTCTAGTTCAGTTCTAGTTAAGTTCTAGGTCAGTTCTAGTTCAGTCCTAGTTCAGTCCTAGTTCAGTTCTAGTTCAGTTCTAGTTCAGTTCTAGTTCAGTTCTAGTTCAGTTCTAGTTCAGTTCTAGTTCAGTTCTAGTTCAGTTCTAGTTCAGTTCTAGTTCAGTTCTAGTTCAGTTCTAGTTCAGTTCTAGTTCAGTTCTAGTTCTCTTGTATAACTTCTTTATTTTGCCACTGTATTTAGCTACTTCAGTTGTATATATTTTACTATAGTTATTTATTTTGCCAAATAATAAAACAAATAACATATTTGTTCCGAATTTTAGACAAATATTTAAACTTTTTCCTACAACATAGCAAAAGGAAATTAGGGTTTGTGTTTCTGAACTATTTTGAAAGATTACAAAATTTTTGTTAAAAATGAAGCCAATAGTAAGTATTTAAACAATTGTGTATAAAAATAAATATTATGACTTATATTTATTGTTATTCTTACTCATATATACATATGTATAAAATGACTGTTAAATGTCTGTATACATTTAGTAGGAGTAGGGGGAAAATGGTGTTATTCTGATAAAAATATGACTATATACAGTTAATTTTTTTGTACAAATTGTTTTTTGCCAATTGTATGTATTTCTTATTTAACACATGATTTCAAGCAGAAAAGAATTGTATTCACGAATAGAGTTTTCTTTAAAATAAAAATAAATTTATTTCAGTTGCTAGAAAGTGCTTTAAAAAGTAAAAAGTGTGTATTGAAAGGAAGTTTAAAGTAAAATTTATTATTAATATAGAAAAAAAATGGGTTGCTGTGCGTCTAAGGATTTGGATAAGAAAAAATCATGGAGTCCTTCTGAAACAAATAATGGTGTAGGTGGTTTCTTTAAAAGTTTTGAAACTAAATTAAACCGAAAATTTTTAAAAAATATATAATATTCCTAAAAATGAACTTAAGTTTAATAAAAAATATACATGAATTATAAACGGAAACAAGAAAATAGTGATAATGAAAGTGTTTTATATTAAAAAAGTTTAATTGGCCGCTTTTTAATTGAATGCTTAATAAAAAACATATTGAAATGCAAATGCTTTAAAAAACGAGCAAATTTTATTTAAAAAAATTAAAATTATTAGAAAATGAAGAAAATTAAAAAAAAATCTTAAATTTTTTTTAAGTTAATGGGCTAATTTAAACATTTTTAAATTTGTTAACAATTTAAAAATTATTAAAAATTTAGTAAAATAAGAAAAAGTTTTAAATAGTTAACTGTAATTGCTTAAAAAATTATAAACTGTTATTTCAAAAATAACTTAAAATATATTCGATACTCAAATAACACTCACTTTGTTCTAGTTCATTTCTAGTTCAGTACTAGTTCAGTTCTTGTTCGGTTCTAGTTCAGTTCTAGTTTAGTTCCAGTCCAGTTCTAGTTCAGTTCTAGTTCAGTTCTAGTTCAGTACTAGTTCAGTTCTAGTTCAGTTCTAGTTCAGTTCTAGTTCAGTTCTAGTTCAGTTCTAGTTCAGTTCTAGTTCAATTCTAGTTCAGTTCTAGTTCAGTTCTAGTTCAGTTCTAGTTCAGTTCTAGTTCAGTTCTAGTTCAGTTCTAGTTCAGTTCTAGTTCAGTTCTAGTTCAGTTCTAGTTCAGTTCTAGTTCAGTTCTAGTTCAGTTCTGGTTCAGTTCTAGTTCATTTCTAGTTCATTTCTAGTTCAGTTCTAGTTCAGTTCTAGTTCAGTTCTAGTTCAGTTCTAGTTCAGTTCTAGTTCAGTTCTAATTCAGTTCTAGTTTAGTTCTAGTTCAGTTCTAGTTCAGTTCTAGTTCAGTTCTAATTCAGTTCTAGTTCAGTTCTAATTCAGTTCTAATTCAGTTCTAATTCAGTTCTAATTCAGTTCTAATTCAGTTCTAGTTCAATTCTAGCTCAGTTCTAGTTCAGTTCTAGTTCAGTTCGAGCTCAGTTCTAGTTCAGTTCAAGTTCAGTTCTAGTTCAGTTCTAGTCCAGTTCTAGTTCAGTTCTAGTTCAGTTCTAGTTCAGTTCTAGTTCAGTTCTAGTTCAGTTCTAGTTCAGTTCTAATTAAGTTCTAGTTCTATTCTAACATCAATCTAATTTTGTTTATTTTTTTTACTTTCAGAGTACCTCATCGACAATAATAGCTCAACCTAGTGATGACTCGGGTACCGGGACATTTCGCAAGAAAAACTATACGACAACTTTAAATCACACCATAACGACGACAACAACTTCAAGGGAAAATAATGAAGAAAATTAGTTTCTAGAAAAATAGTTTAAATAACGAAAAATAATGTGTAGGTTTAAGTTTTTATAAAAGTTTTTGTTACAGTTATAAATTAAAAAGTTTAAAAACAAAAGTAGATTTCTTTTGTGAAGTTTAAAACCAAAAATAAAAAAGTGCATTTTTTTGCATTTTGTATGCAAAATGTTCTATTTTTGCCCTTAAATTGTTAACAATAGTAAACAATTGTTAAAAATCTCATTTGTTTATTAGAAACCACTCATAACATGTAATCCTAGATGATTTTGAAGATTATTTTGGAAATTGTTTAAAAAAAAGGCAACATTTTGTGCAAAATTTTGAATTTTTTTATACTAAATAATTTGTTTTGGCTGTAAAGTAATTTGTTACATTAGGATTTGTTAGAATTCAGATATTATAAGTTATTAGCATTGAATTCCACTGATTTTTTTAAGTGTTATTGAAAAAGTGCATTTCTTTTGCATTTTTTTTATACAAAATTTTGCCTTTTTGCACTTAAATCATTTGTTTTGAAGAAAAACTATTAAGAAAACTGTGAAAATTGTGAAAAGTCATTGAAAACATGTAATTCTATGTGAATTAGAAAGATTAATTTCAAAATTACTTCAAAAAGTGCAATTTTTTTTTGCAAAATTTTGCATTTTCACACTTATTTCATTTAAAATTGCTGCTGTAATATTATAATACTAAAGAGTAGCAGTGTAAAGTTCATAAAATGCATTTTTGGAAATTTTTTATTTTCTTTACTAATCTTTATTTATGTCAAAGACAGCAGAAGAAAAGAAAAGTCTTTTACAAAAAACTACGTTTTATCAATTGAATTATTACTCTCTTCTAAATAAAAACAATGAATGAATTATAATTTAATTTATTTTGAATTCATTTTTCAAAGAAAAACAATTCAAAAACAAAAAAGAAAAATAAATTAAATTTAAAATCTACTATAGTGGCGATCCCATGATCTTATTTAGTTGAGCCAAAGCTGTTGTGTATTAAAGATCATTTAAATTATAAACAATTGAAAAAAAAAAACTTACAAATTAAGTGAATTAAACAAAATAAAGAAAAAAAAAATGTATTTCATATTAAAATTGATAATTTTACTAGAAATCTTTATTAATCTACATAAATGTAAAGCTTACGTTTTACATACAACCCAAGAGCAAGATAATGACAATAATAATGAATTGTTGGAGGCGGGGGGTGTAACAAATCCCGCTTCTCTCTATATAGATAACCGAGTAGTTAACCCTGCTGACATACGAGAGCCTGCTACACTGCAAGAAATTGTTAATTATATAGGAGCTGATAAATTGAGTAATACAGCTGTTTTGCCCGAATTAAAAGGCGATCAAAGGGAGACTTTGACTTACACGGAATTAGCAAATTTATTGGCCTTTTGGCAGTGGGCTAAAGAGCAGAATTTCTATGAAATGCAAACGGAACAAACTAATACAAATGATAATTTTGTAACAGTAGATTAAGGAAAGAATTAAAGAAAATGTGTAAAAGAAAGTGCAAGTTAATTAAATAAAATGTAAATAATTTAAAGAAATTTTTTAATTTCATTTTTAATTAATTAAGATTTTTTAAATCTCTTCTATTAGTCGACTCATTGTTTGCCTTTTGAACTATAAAATGTCGGCGAAATTTTAAAAGATAATGCCATAAAAATATTAAAAATAACATTTTTAAAAACTGATAACAGCCAGAAGAAAGCAAAAAAAAATAACTGCTACATATGTTTTTGAAAAAGCTGCTGAGAGGAAAATAATAATAATAAAAAAAAACATTTGTATACAAACAAATTTATTTGAATTTGACACACATTTATTATTTAAGTGTTTTTATTTGTTTGGCGGTACTTGAAATTAAATGGGTGATTATTTTAAAATTTGTCATACGATGATGTGAAATTTTATAATATAGAAAATTAGTTTAGAATCATATAATTTAATATTTAAATAAAAAACTTCACGCTTAATTGGAAAAACAACTAATTAGTTTAAAAGAAACTTCATTAAGTACCCTTGAGGGGTAAAACTTATGGAGACTAAAGAAATTGAAAAAACTACAAAAATTATTAAATTTCTAAAAAAATCTCTTTAAACAAAATAGGGAAATTTTCAAAATTTTTGAAAATTAAAATTTTTATTCATTAAACAATATAGAAAAACAAAAATTTCTGAAATATATCTTTAAACTAAAATTTCTTTTAGGGGGAATTTTTTCAAATATTTGAAATTTTTAAAATTTTGTTAAAATTATAATTTTTATTCATTAAACAATAAAAAATTCAAAAATGTCTGAAAAATCTCTTTAAACATAAATTTCCCTTAAAGGGAAATTTTTTTAATGAAGGGAAATTTTGAAAATTTGGACAAATTTAAAATTTATATTGATAAAACTATAAAAAAATGCAAAAACTTTTTGATAAACCTCTTTAAACTAAAATTTTTCAAAAAAAGGGAAATTTAAAAAAATTTTAAAAATTTATAATTAAAATTCATAAAACTGTATAAAAATACAAAAAATTTTAAAAAACCTCTTTAAACAAAAATTTCCCTTAAAGGGAATTTTTCAAAAAAGGAAATTTGAAAAATTGTTACAAATTTGTAACTTAATTTCATAAAACAGTATATAAATACAAACAATTTTGAAAAACCTCTTTAAACTAAAATTTTCCCTAAAGGAATTTTTTTCAAAAAAGGGAAATTTGAAAAATTGTCCAAATTTGTAATTTTTATTCATTAAACAATATAGAAATACAAAAATTTCTGAAATATATCTTTAAACTAAAATATCCCTTAAAGGGAAATTTTTCCAAAAAAGGGAAATTCTCAAAAGTTCGTTAAAATTGTAATTTTTATTCATTAAGAAGATAAAAACGCAAACATTTCTGAAAAATCTCCTTAAAGGGAAATTTTTTCAAAAAGGGATATTTTCAAAATTTTTCCAAATTTTTCATTTAAATAGTTAAAAACATGAAAATATTATATATAATTCAATTACAGCATCAATTACAAATAAATATTTGCAAAACTATTTTAAAAAGTGCAAAATTTTTTTTGAATTTTTTTTTTACAAAATTTTACCTTTTTGCTCCTAAACAATTTGTTAATGTTAATAAATACGATAAATCACTTTATTTCATTTAAAACCATTTAAGACATGTAATTTTAAATAAAATTTCAAGAGTTTTATATCGATTATTTGAAAACGGGCAAACATTTTTTGCAATTTATAGGCAAAATTTTGCATTTTCACTCTAAAATTTATTCATTATTGTAAAAAATTGTTGAAAAACACATTTTATTATTTAAATCTATTCATAAAATGTAATTTTAGTTCAATTATAAAAAGTATTATGCAATGTGTTAAAAAAAGGGCAACATTTTGTGTAAAGTTTTGAATTTTTAATTAAAAATGATTTATTTTGCTTGTAAATTACTTAGTTTTATCACAATTTGTTAAAAATCACGCATTACAAGTTTTTTTTTGAATTCTACTGAATTGTTTTTGTTTTATTGAAAAAGTGCAATATTTTTTTTTTTTTTTGCAAAATGTTGCCTTTTTTCTCTGTCATCGTTTATTTTAGATGTAAAGTATATAGTAATACTTTAGTTTGCTTAAAAACAGTTATATTATGTTATTATAAATGAATTATCTGTAAAATATATAAAGTGCAACATTTTTTTTTTGCAATTTTCGTGCTAAATTTTGCATTTTTGTTTTTTAAACATTTGTTTTACGAGCAAAGTTTTGGAAAATGTTACATATTGTTTAAATTACTATTGACAATTGTGAATTTCAAACAAGATTTTGGAATTCTTGTTAAAAAGTCATCATATTTGCAATTTTTATGCAAAATTTTGCCTTTTTGCTGTTAAATCTATTTCAAAAATCTTTAAAAACATTAGAAAAATTACAAAAAATGAAGAAAATTTGTAAAAAGCTATTCTTTAAATATTTCAAAGCAACATTTCAACTAATTTGCGTATTTTCTAATTGTCAAGTTTGTCGTTTAAAGAAAAAAATTTTTGAAAAATGATAAATTGCAATAAAGAAAAAGTTCATTTTATTTATCTTAGTTTTTTTTTTTTTTTGCAAAAGAGTGATAGTGTGGCTTTGCATAAAAACTACAACGAATTAAATGAATAGAATAACAACTGTCAAACAAAATTTAATTAAATTATAAAAGGCAAATACAGTAAGGCAAAGAAAGTTAGGGTATTCACAGTTTGCCAACAAAGTTAAGGTCAGGAATTTTCGATAAAAAGTAGTGAAAGAGTTGAAAGTCTTTTTATATGTATAAATTATAAAAAGCTGTAATATTTCTCACTTTATAAACGTAATAGTTTTATTGGGGTAGAGGTTTTTCAACCAAACTGTGACTAGCCTAAATATTGCCTTACAACAATGTTTATTAAAAGATAAATAAAGTATTTTATGCTAAGTTTACACCGATCATAAAAGGCCTTAAAATAAAGTTGATTAAAACCAGTAATAAAAAGAATAATTTAAGCGAAAAGACACAAACATGATTTAAGGCACTTAAAGCATCATATACTAGGCCCCAGGAACCAGTCAGGTAACTAGTTCTTTAATAGTAAAGTTTCTTAAAATTAAAAAAACTCAAACGGTTACAAATCTCTAACAAATTTTAAAATATCCATGAGTGGCAGAAGTGTGAGCCTACTTTAATAAGAAAACAAATCTCTTTAGAAGAGATATATATATCTGATGAGATTTTCTCCTTCATTTAACACAACAAATAACAAAATAACAAATAACACGTTAATTTTATTTCTGTCACATTTCTGATGCTTAGTATTAAATTAAACGATTTTGTTAAAGGAAGTAAAATCGAAAGCTTTAAAATATTAAAGAAAAAAAAGAGAAAAATGTTTTCATATCAACTACTTTTAATAGTTTTAATCCCCATGACCTTGCCGTCATCTTCCATGGTCTCAACACGTGCCATTAATAGTTCGGTTATCATGGATTTATGGTCACGCAATATCGACTGGGCCGAATTGGTAGACGACAATGGTCCGAAAGAGTTTGTTATACAAAATGAAAAGATCACTGTTAAATTGGAACATCAAATGTCAAAGGATAATCAAGTGAGAAATAAAGAATTTAGTGGTGATGTTGAGGTGTTTCGTGAGAGTAAAGAGAGCAGCAGAGAGCTTAGTATATCGGAAGTGATATACATGGGTAATGGTTGGGAAATTATTATTAAGAATCCGAAATTGAATTCGTGTTATTGAAGAGGTGTAAAAATAAATGTTTTGAAATTAAAAAAAAAAAACAAGAAAGTTTTTAATTTGAGAGAGATTTTCTCTTTATTTGTTTTGTTTTAAAAGAGAGTGCTGAAAGGAGTGAAAAGCACAAAGAGAGCTTTTTAAAGAAGAGCTATATTAATCAATATTCTAAACTAGAACTCAATACAGATTTTTATAACATAAATGTTTTAAAAAGAACTGTGTTTCAATCGGTGATGAGCAGCAAGAGAACGCCTTGAAAAAGAGAAACAATTGCTCAAGAATCACAGATTGACTAATCTGTTGACTGGTGCTTTCTCTAGTCTGTTGAATAATCTATGAACTAGTATACGGATTAGTCTATGAACTGGTCTTTGAACTACGATTAGTCTACGGACTTGCCTTTTGACTGGTCTATGAACTAGTATGTTTAATAGCGCATTTACTAGTCTATGGACCTGTTGACCTATTGACTAGTCTATGGATTAGTCTAATGACTAGTCTATGTACTAATGTTTTGAGTAGTCTATAAATTGGTATATAGACTAGTCTATCGATAAGTAGTTTGACCAGTCTGTGGACTTATCTATTAACTAGTCTATGGACTTGTCTATTGTCTAGTCTACGGACTTGTCTATTGACTAGTCTACGACTGGTCTTTTGACTGGTTAATGAACTAGTATGTTTAATAGTGCATTTTCTTGTCTATGGACTTGTTGACCTATTGACTAGTCTATGGATTAGTCTAATGACTAGTCTATGTATTAATGTTTTAAGTAGACTATAAACTGGTATATAGACTAGTCTATCGATAAGTAGTTTGACCAGTCTGTGGACTTATCTATTAACTAGTCTAAGGACTTGTCTATTGACTAGTCTATCGATAAGTAGTTTGACCAGTCTGTGGACTTATCTATTAACTAGTCTAAGGACTTGTCTATTGACTAGTCTACGACTGGTCTTTTGACTGGTCAATGAACTAGTATGTTTAATAGTGCATTTTCTTGTTTATGGACTTGTTGACCTATTGACTAGTCTATGGATTAGTCTAATGACTAGTCTATATACTAATGTTTTGAGTAGACTATAAACTGGTATATAGACCAGTCTATCGATAAGTAGTTTGACCAGTCTGTGGACTTATCTATTAACTAGTCTAAGGACTTGTCAATTGACTAGTCTATGGACTTGTCTATTGACTAGTCTACGGACTTGTCTATTGACTAGTCTACGGACTTGTCTATTGACTAGTCTACGGACTTGTCTATTGACTAGTCTACGAACTTGTCTATTAACTAGTCTATGGACTAGTCCATTGAGTAGTCTATGGATTTGTCTACTGACTAGTCTACAGACAAGTCAACGGATTAATCTAATAACTAGTCTATTGTTTAGTATAGAAACTGGTCTACGGACTAGTCTACCGATTAGTCTATTGATTAGTATGGAATTAATTATTGACTAGTCTATGTTCTAGTGTATGGACTATTACAAGAATTAGTTAATTTTAAAGTCTATGAACTGGTGTTTTAACTAGTGTATAAACAGTTCTATGGTCTAGTCCATCGATTATATTAGAAACTTTAATAAAATTTCTTCCATTTTCTATTAATCTTAAATATTTTTATTTAAAAAATAAAACAATGAAATTCGTAAATATATTAAAAAAAAAAAATAAAGCTTCTTTAAGTGCAAAGTTAAACTAAGAAAAAGTGCATTTGTTCTTTTTGTTGTAAAACAAATATATAAATCTTTAAAAACAAGATAATTAAAAAAACATAAATTCATATTTAGTAGTAACTATTGGTTAAAAATGCTTAAGTTTTCTTATTATTAGCCGCCTGTTCCTCGGGTATAATATCCATACTACCTCTGCTGCCATTAGACTTATCCAAATCTTCTGGTTTCTGGGAAATATCTTCTTTACTGGATATATCAGTTAATTCGGTAGAATTAGTATAAGATTTAGTTAAACCAGGGGCCGTATTTTCCTCTTCCACAAAACTGGGTGTGCGGGAATTATTATTACCAATTTCCGAGCTAGTGGCGGTAACCACTACCAAAGGCATTTGCTTTTTACGTATACGTTTGGCTATGGGTGGCACGAATAGATCACATTTGATTGTGGTTCTTGAGGCATCAGTGTAGAGGGCATCATTTAGGTCCCAGCCTAATTTCTCATATAACCAAGAGAAGAAAATGCCCAAAAAGAAGGTTATTAGGAAACCTATAACAGCATACCACATATAGGAAATACGATAGAGATAGAAGTAGTGAGGTTCCTCTTCTGCTTTTACCGTTTCCAGGAGAGTAGAGGTAAAGATGTCTGTTATTAAGGAAGTGGGTGTGGCAGGACAGCTATCGGTATCCAAAGGTAGTAAGGGAATGGGTGGTTTAGGTTGTCCGAAACCAATCCAAAAGGAAATAGCTAAACCAATGGTTAGACTGGTAATGGCACCCTTTTGATTGGCTTTCTGGATATACATGCCCAAGGTAAACAAACCCAAAAGAGGGCCGCCCACTATACCAAATATACTAAGAGCTGCTTGCAGTAGACCACCAATCGAACCAGCCATGAAAGCTATGCCCAAGCATACAGCGCCATAAATTAAATTCAAAATTTTGGTATAAAAGGTAGTCCTGGCATCACTTAGTTCCTTTTTCTTACGATAAGCCACCCAGGGTTTGATATAATCCTCCATGGTTACTGCCGATAATGAGGATATAGCTGAGGATATAGAAGACAAACTGCCGGAGAAGATGCCGGATACAAAAAGTCCCGATAAACCGGGTATATGACCCATGGTGTCTATCACAAATAGAGGCATAAGTTGGTCACGAGAATTAATACGTCCCTCCAGCAAAGGATCACAGCCCTTGTAGTAATAGTACATGCACAAACCCGAGAAACAGGTGGTAAAACTTAACACCATTAACACCGGCAAACTCCACCATAAAGAATTAGCAGAAGCTTTCAAAGATTTGACGGAGAGTAATCTTTGCACTTGCACTTGATTAACACCATATAGAGATAAGTAAACACCCAGACCGCCTATAATCTGGGTAAAGAAGGTATGACGATGAGTAGGATCCACGCTAAAGTTGAAAAATTCCAAACGTCCACCCTCTCTAGCGGTTTCCCATATGGGACCCAGGCCACCAGCCTTAATGCCAGCACAAACAATAATAGCAAATACCGAGGCAAACATAAGAACCGATTGGAAGATATCCGTAATCAAAACAGCCTTCATGCCACCCAAAGTAGAATAGAAAGTACACACCAGTCCTACAATCAATATAGAAAATACTATATTCAAACCAGTAACCGCTTCCAAGGCTAAGGCAGGAGCATATAAAACTATGCCCATGTATAAAGCAGTCTGCACTGAAAAAGCCAGGGAGGCATATAATCTAGTGGCATAACCAAATCTTTGTTCCAAATACTCATAAACACTGGCCGTTTTCAAGCGATAGAAAACCGGTAGTATCAAGTAGGCGGCAAAAGGTGTGGCCAAGATATAGGCAATATTAATAAGTACAAATTGTGTGCCATATTGATAATTTTCCGCTGATACACCCAATATGGTAACAGCAGACATTAAACTAGCGGTTAAACTGAAAGCCACGGGGGTTATGCCCATGCCACGATCCGCCAACAAATATTCCTTAGCAGTCTTTTGTTTGCCACCCGTTAGACGATAATAAACACCAATACCTGCGGAAATGATGAGTACTATAGCCAGTATGGTATAATCCCAAGGGCCAAATTGAGCCATTTTTGTTGATTTTTGAGTTCCTTTTTAGCACGAATTTTACTTCAGGGGGAGGGGAAGTGATAAAATTTGGAAAAGGTTGTGTTTGCTTTTAGGGGTAGGAATGCAACCAGAGCCAACAATGTTTAAAATAATTTACACAATTAGTTTGACATGATGACACAAGAGCACTGGAACATTTACAGATGGTTGACCGCAGAGTTAACTGTTTGTAAAGGAAGTTAATTTTGAGTTTGCAATAAACTTGGATTTAAATCCCGTTTAACTAACAAGTGTTTTGTATTAATTAATAAGCTGAAGAAAGCAAAATGTTCAAATGTTTAAAACCAGGGGATCAGCTAATGGATCCAAGTGTCATATCAGACAAAAGTTGCTGCTTAAAATCTATGAAGTTTTCTTTAACAAAATTTCATACTAATAATGAATAATGTCATAAATAGTATGAATTGTTTATATATTATTAGGTTAATTAAAAAATAGTAAGAACTTTGCTTTGAGAAAAAAGTTCATGTTCGTTTCATACTATTTACTACAAAATTCATGCTATTTATGAAACATGTTTTTCGGTGTATAACCTAAAATGTTTTAAATCTTGGGGAAATTTTGAATAAGTTTCAAAATGATCACACCATAGCTTTTGAATATATCACACGTTATTGTTATTATTCTTAAATTGTTCCTACCTTAAGCTTCATTTGCCAAATTTGTTAAACCTCTAATCTTTTGCAAAACTTAACTGATTACATCTAATATTTATTAATTTGAAATCAACAAATTTTCCCCCCAATAACAATATAAATAAACAAATGATTAAATAAACTTATTTAAGGCCTAGAGACACCATCAAAATTTGGCAATATTTGATAAGTAACAAAACTTTCCTCTAAAATTTAAGGTCAACAAAAAATCTAAGAAATAAAGCTAAATTTAGAACAGAAAAGATAAAAATATCATGAACGCGCAAATGTTGATTAGTTTCTTTTGGCTCTAAGGGCTTTTTGGGTGCAAATTTAATCTATAATCAATAGAATTAATTTCACACGTTAATTAGTTATTTATAAAGATTCTTATCATTTGGTTTTTAATTCGCACGCTCTAAACTATAAGATTTTTGCACTTAAATTTTGTGGTTATCTTAGTTTTTTGCAAATATTGTTTTCGCAATTCTTAAAAGTACAGTTTCAACATCTAACTTATCAATACAATTTGACAATGGAAAACATGCGTAGAATTTATGGCTGCACTTGAAAACACTTTAATTGTTAGAGACTCTGAAACATTTATTTTTATCAGTTTAGGGAATTCCTAAGTTGTTCAAAGTTACTGAGCAATTTATAAGCACTTAGACTTAATTGGTTTTTGGACTAGACTGTCAAATATTTAAAGGAACATAATGCAAATAAATAAAACTACTTTTACATGATTTAAACCATTTTTGGTACTAATTTAATCCCTTTTTTAGTACTATCATACGTTTCTATACTTATTTATAACTTCAGTTTATTAGGAAAGTTTTCAATTAACAATTTTAGGTATTATTAACCTAATCCAAGTCTTAACAGCCGATTTAAAAGGTTATCAAAAGATTTGGTACTAAAATTCTCCCCTTTTTTTTTGGTACTATTGAAGTTTTCTTAATTAACTGAAATCAAAATTAGTCTTGTATTACATAAAAAAGTTTTTTAGTTGCAGAAACATGTTTTTTATAATTAGACAACATTTTGGTACTAATTTAATACCTTTTTAGTACTATTTAACTTTTCATTCCTTATTTATAACTTCAGTTTATTAGGAAAGTTTTCAATTAACAATTTTAGGTATTATTAACATAATCCAAGTCTTAACAGTCGATTTAAAAGATTACCAAAAGATTTGGTACTAAAATTCTCCCCTTTTTTTGGTACTATTAAAGTCTTTTTGATAAACTAAAATCAAAATTAGTCTTGTATTACACACAAGAAGTATTTTAGTTGCAGAAACATGTTTTTTAACAATTAGAAATCATTTTGGTACTAAATTTATCCCTTTTTTAGTACTATTTAACTTTTCATTACTTACTTATAACTTCAGTTTATTAGGAAAGTTTTCAATTAACAATTTTAGGTATTATTAACCTAATCCAAGTCTTAACAGCCGATTTAAAAGGTTATCAAAAGATTTGGTACTAAAATTCTCCCCTTTTTTGGTACTATTGAAGTTTTCTTAATTAACTGAAATCGAAATTAGTCTTGTATTACATACAAGAAGTATTTTAGTTGCAGAAACATGTTTTTTTACAATTAGAAATCATTTTGGTACTAAATTTATCCCTTTTTAGTACTATTTAACTTTTCATACCTTTTACATAACCTCATTTTATTAGGAAAGTTTGTTTGCATTATTTACATAATACAACTCAGATTTAACAGATTTAAGAGGTTATTGAAAGATTTGGTACTAAAATTGTCCCCCTTTTGGTACTATTAAAATGTTCTTGATAAACGGAAGTCTAAATTTGTATTATACTTCATACTTTTGTCCTTCTTACTAAAACTTTAGTTGCAAAAATATGCTTTTTACTATTATAAAGTAATTTGGTACTAAATTTATCCCCTTTTAAGTACTTTTTAGCATTCCTTTCCTTATTTATATTAAAATTTTGTTACAAATCTTTTAAATTACATATTTTTGCATTATTTACATAATCCAAGTCTTAACAGCAGATTTAAAAGGTTTACGAAATATTTGGTACTAAAATTCTTCCCCTTTTTGGTACTAATATTAGTGATCTTAATAAACTGAAATTCCAATGTGTCTGTACTTCATACTATAACTTTTGGTTTAAAAAGAATTTTAATATTGAAACTTTTTTGATGCAGAAACTTATTCCTTACGATTAAAAATGATTTTGGTACTAAAATTGTCCCCCTTTTTTATTCATTTTTGTCAACTAGCGGTTTTTAGCATTATTTACAAAATCTTCAAGTGATTTTTAGCTTTATTTACAAAATCTTAGTCTAAACTATGATTTGGTACTAAAATTGTCCCCCTTTTGGTACTTTTATAAAACTAAAAATTTCGAATTTCATAACAATTTTCTCAAACAAATCAAAATTTTAAATATTCATTAAAATTCACAGAAAATTTAAAATTTTTACTAAAAAATTTTTAAATATCGAGGAAATTTTTCTCTAAATTTATATTTTTTAATAAAAATTTTGAATTTTGACTAAAAATTTCGATTTTTTATTGAAATTTAAAAAATGAAATTCACTCAAAATTTCATAATTTCTCAAAAAAAATTCAAAATTTAAAAGTTTTAGTGAAATTCAAAATCAAAAGTTTAAGTTTTCTCTATAAATTTGAATTTTTCAATAAAAATCGAAATATTTTCATTAAATTTTAAAATTTTACAAAAAATCGGAATTTCTACTAAAAATGAAAATTTTCTTAAAAAAATCAGTAAAAATTTTAAATTTTTGTTAAAAATTTCGATTTTTTTTAGATTTTTCAAATTTTTATTCAAAATTAAATTTTTTTCTAAAATTAATAAATTTCACTAATAAATCAAACTTTTACTAAAAATATATATGTCTTCTCTAAAAAATCCTTAATTCCTTTATTAAAATTCAGAATTTTATTCAAAAAATTCCTTTTTTAAATACTGAACTTTTTAAAAGAGGTTTTGAATATAGTTTTTGACAAATATTTTGAACATTGAAAAATATTGAAAAATATTTTAAAAATCTCTAATTTTTTATGATTTATTTAAAGAAAACTTTAATTATTGCTTAAAAATTTGTAAATTTACTTTACTAAACTGCAATTTGTTTAACACTTTTATTAAATTTCACAGATTTTTTGTTATAATTATTACAAAACACTTGTTATTAAACTTTTTTTTTTAACGATTAACTCTTTCGAAGAAAATAGTCACCTTGTTAGTTGAGTAGTTAAGGTACAAATGTGTTTATAGATTTAGTTTTTTGTTTCTTTAAAGAATAAGTTTTCACACAAAAAACCAATTGAAATTTTATCTATAAAATCAACTCACTCACTATTGAAAAGTACAAATAAGAAGAAAAAAACTATACAAGAAATATAAATATAACACACGTTTAACTTTGATTATAAGATTATATTAGACGTATATTTTATTTTAAAAGGCTTAATCTTTATGACATTTTTATAATTTTCAAACAAAAAAAAAAAAAAAAAAAAAAAATCAACAAATAATAATGATTTTAATTAAAAAAGAACTGTCGAAGATATTTAAACAAGAAAAAAAATAGGCCGTTAACAGTTTAACTTTAATAGGCAAATGCCAAATTATAATTAATAAAAATTCTTGTCTTTTTTTTGTTTAGATGCTGGTAAGGTTTATGATTTGGTAATGTATTATTGGTAGATAAAAGTTTTCCATTGTATTATTTTAGCCACTTATACAAGTGTAATGTATAAAAAAAGATAATAAATTGTTATTATAGTCGTTAATAAAAAGTAAATTGTATTAACAAATTGTAAAAATACTCGTTTTATAAACAATAAATAAATATAAATAAAGTGTTTTGATAAAAAAAGTGTCTCATATTCAGAAAAGAAGAGTATCATTTTGCTTGCTAGAGAAAAATAGCTTTCAATGTGATTTAAGTTTAAATAGAATGTTTACATTTAAGCTTCTTAACTTAATTTAACACCTCTTTTTTAAGCACTCTTAAAAAATAAACACTGACAATACAATTATGTAGAATAAACAAAAATAATCCCCTCCAAAAAGAAAACCGACCGCCAAACAAATTAATATTATTAAAATTTCGTCCCCCTTTTCCTCATAAGCTCTGTAATAAAGCAAAATAAATATAAACATATAGCCCCAGAATATTATTAACTTTATGATTTTCACCTACAAAGTAATACAGTTTTATTAAAGACTATAAAAACATATAGACAGTGGGTAAGGGGTAACAATTCATAGAGGTGGGGGTAACATAGGAAAAGGTGTGGAGAAAGCTTGTTTGTTATCTGTAGACTGCATTAATAATGTAAGTATTTGCATCTGGTTAAGGTAGTTGTAAATATTGTATTAAGCAATAAGTTTATTAATTTTGCAGTTAAGATTCTTAGAAATAATAGCGGGAAAAAGTTAAAGATTTGGTTAAATGAAATCATTGTTTCGATGCAATAAAGATAGAATCTTTGTGTATCTATCTATCTATCTATTTATCTATCTATCTATCTATCTATCTATCTATCTATCTATCTATCTATCTATCTATCTATCTATCTATCTATCTATCTATCTATCTATCTATCTATCTATCTATCTTTCTATCTATCTATCTATCTATCTATCTATCTATCTATCTATCTATCTATCTATCTATCTATCTATCTCTATCTATCTTTCTATCTATCTATATATCTATCTATCTATCTATCTATCTATCTATCTATCTATCTATCTTTCTATCTTTCTATCTTCTATCTATCTATCTATCTATCTATCTATCTATCTATCTATCTATC